TGGATTGTGAAGGACCTGCCTAGTATGGGCCAACAGGCCTGTTGCAGTGTTCCTCCTTTCTTTTGTTCTTATGTGTCTTTCCTCTTGTGGAATGAATCAGTATAAATATATTGAAGCCGATATCACTAGGTAATCTTTATTTTTTGAATGACAGTTAATATCATTGTTTATTAAATAAAATTGGAAATTGAGACTTATGCAGACCAATAACAACGCCATCTGAATTATGAATCAAATAGCCACAGACAACTTTATTAGTCAGTCAGTTATCCTACTCGGCAGTTTCTCAAATTTAAGGAAAAAGTATCAGTAATTGCTCGACGTTCTCGTTTGTTTTATTGAAATTAGATAGTGTTAATTATGATATATTCCCTACACTTTCCTGTGTGTTATTACGTCTGTTCAGTAGTTCAACATTATTAAAATTAACTTCATGATTCTCTGTACTTTCCTGATGTAATACATCATTATAATCAGCTAAGTGCGTACTAAGTAGCCTGTCCACGTTTAAAATAATGTTTCCCCTAATGTAGCATTTGTCATAATCGGTGCTTGGAATGCTGTAAATACCAAGCTTTTTCTAGGTGTCCTCGGGTAACCTTTGCTTAACAAGCCTCTTGGTGGTATTCGTACTGTTGACACCGATGTTATCATCATTGTGAAAGGGGACTATTATCAGATATGCCCGCTTGCCTCAGGTTTTGTTTTGATTATTATAATGGCCGTTAAGAGCTCTTGATCTTTATTACTTCTACGCTTAGTTTTCATTGCTGTAACTTAAAACGAGACTGTTCAGCGAGGACGTTACTCACTGGTGGACTATATGCATTTTAATGCTAATTCTGGAGCTCCTTTCAACACGAGATGTCCAGCAGCATATTATGCGGTGATTTCTTTTGTCCAAAACGATGATCCAACTCTTGGTGTCTCCTTCAAATTTTGTATCCTCTTACTATTTAGGACACGATGCTACCGACCCTCGATTTCACTTTTTTCTTCAGAAAGATAACCAAATAAATCATCGTGTCGGTTCTCTGAACCATTCATCTACAAATAAATATAATAGAAGATTAGAGACTGAAGGCAGTGTTTGACTTAGGTATACAACATTGGATAGGTTCATTAGTTTCTTCAGAGTATCAGCATCATTTGGAAAGTGAGCCTTAGGCTCTTGAAATGCCCTCACTAAAAATTATGACATCTAATTTCCATGGTAAACAAATCTTCTGGTTCAACATTGGCCTTTCTCTAAGTGGCCACAAGGGAAGAAAAAGAATCATAACCAAAATCTTCTCTTTCATGTGGAAGAAACATTGTATTATAATTCAAACTAACTTTAAGCAGCACAATTTCAGGGAACAAAATTCTTCAAAGCTTATAAAATGGTGAGTAAGACGCATATGCAACAGTATTTTTATTCCGAAACGTTTCGCCTACACAGTAGGCATCTTCAGTTGAGTATAGAAGAGTTGGCAGGAGCAGTAGAGATGTGAAGACGATGTAATCGTCAAGGTTGATGGACTAATTACATCATCCTAACATCTTTACTGCTTCTGCTAACTTTTCTGTATTCGACTGAAGAAACCTATTGTGTAGGCGAAACGTTTTGGAATAAAGATGTCTAACTGTTGCATATGTTTCTTACTTACCATCCTGTTGGTACTGTATGTATTTTTGATATTCAGATTATAAGATGTTCCTTTTCACGAAGAAGAGCCCAATTATCCGCTTTTTCGTTCTGATAATGTTCGTCTTTTCAAATTCACCCAACATTGTTTTCATAAAAGAACAATTTAATTAATTTACATGGTGAAAAAACATAGCATAATGGTCCCTAGATGCGTATTTATCGCAAAAAAAATAGATTTTATCGGAGATGAATCTTAAAAACTTCACTGATCAAGGATTCCCTAACGTTGTCACATTGTAAGAGAAAGCGTGCGGACTAGTTACGTAATTTGGCTGGATATTAAATATTTCACAGCTAGTACAAATAAATAAGGAATTCCTATGTTTATAGCGAGTGTATATTCATGTCTTAATATTAGAAACCAATAGTGACAGAAAAGTAGCAGGAATGCTTACTTTTAGCCAAAATGTCGCAAGTAGTGTAACTCGGTATTAAGTAGCGAATTAGGCCCATGTTGATAAGAACTTGGGAAAATTCTCTCTGATCCTTGGAGTTAATGCAAAATAAAACCCTCAGAATTATTCTTAACTTTACTAAATCTACCAAGGATCTTAATATGAAGAAAGAGCTTGGTGTCTCTAGTACCAGTGATAGGATTATTGAGATTTGGCATTAAAATGTTAAGAAATGAACCAGACACTGTTACCATGAATCTTATTCAATGTCCAGAAGTAAATGCACATTGATCTAAAGGGGTTGTGCAAACATGCACTTATATTAAGTTTCACAACTTGCACGAACTGTATCACTGTAGAAAACAATATCATTTCACCCCTCCATACCTCCATACCACATACCTGCAAGCCCTCCCAAGAAGTTCATCTCTAGTAATCCCTTCCTTAAATCACTTGTAAAAGCAACTGCTCAGAGAAAACATTTCTCGCCTAACTAGAAGTAATAATTTATCACAAGTTGTATACAATGAAGAATATAAGGATGAGTCTACTAGCAGGTTTGCATCTGCTGTTGTTGCCACTTACCTAGTCAACTACAATAGGAACTTTGAGTAAGGCATAAGAATTAACAACTGGGCTTCTACACTGTAATCTACATTGTTTGCCATTCTAATGACGCTAAAGCTAATTTATGACAGAGCTTGAGTATACAAATTTTACTGACTGTATGTCATTACTGAAGGCTCTGGACTCACATAAAGACTTTAACAACATGCTCATTGGAGAAGCTTGATATAGATACTCGAAAGTCCCGGAAAAGGGACAGTTGTTATGGATTCCATCACACACTGGGTTACTCCTTCATTATGAAGTTGATACGTTAGCCAAGAAAATTACCCTGAAGGAGAATGTAGAATATAACTTTGATGTATCTGTGTCGAGCATTAGGAATAATATTAGAAGATAAGTAAATAGTGAAAATGAGTGTAATAGAAATGCATTCAGAAGCCTGAATTGATCTGTAACTCACTATGATAACTTGAACGTAGATAAGTACGTTTATGGAGCAATTTGCAATGTTAACGGACTGACTGATGTGTAGTGGCCAGGCTTAGGCTTGGTTACAAGTAATTCTGGAAGTTTGGCAGACACACAGATGATGATTAAACCAAATGCAATGTATGTGGCCAGCCCTATGGTCACAATCTTGAACACTATGTGCTTAATTGTCCGCTTATTGAGAAATATAGAGACAAACAGTACAATAATCTATGTGACATGTCAAGATATCTTATTGAAGCAAATATGATTCCAGATGTATTAAGAAAATTTCCTAAATTTGATTGAAACAGAAAAATGAACTGCAGATATAAATTCAGATGCACTCTTGTTAATCCATTTGGGGCCGAATTCCTAGGCCTTTTGTATATCCATATGCTCATGCGCCACAAAACTGAAATAAAGTGCACAATGAAATAGCCACTGCGGTGGCAAAATCTGATCTGCATTGATGACACACTTCTAATTTCATTTTATTGTTTTGCAAGGTTAGGCAGTAAGAAGGAATGAAGGTAGTTTATACACTGGCTGAGGTAACATTGGGATCACCAAGTGCCAGCCAAGTACTACATGGTCCTATCTATGGTCAACCTGCGTGAATAGTCACCCTGATCGAGAAACACTATTCTAGGTTGTGTAGTTTTCAGCTTGCTAATTATATTAAAATATTCTTTGGAATTATTTTCCCAGCAATTACTTGAGAAACCATTTTCTGACCACCTTTAAAGTGTATTAAGCTTTAAAGAAGATTTAATGATGAATTAGCCCAAGTGATGGTTATTTCTTTTGCGTGCATTGAGATTGATAAGGATGAGTTGGTAAGAGTTGGGGGATACCATTCACAGAAAGCGGAGCGACCAAAACAATTCTAGAAATGTGTGTAGTTAGCTGGTATAGTCCTCATATTCACTGACAACTATACAAACCTGCTTCAAGTAACTGTTAGACTGTAGTCAGTATTAGCATCAAGTATGACTGTGTTTGTTGACACAGGAAACAGTAAATGATTTACACACTAACAGTTTTACATATGTTCCCAATTTGAAACCCAAAAATATCTAGTTAATTAGCCCAAATTAATCGAGAATAAAGCTGGATTAAAAATTACATTTTCTGTAACCGAATTACATTTATACATGGTTTATAAATTCACAATATTTCATATAAATTTGCCTTGTTGAATGATGTGCTTTAATAGTTAAAGAAGATCTTGCGGGGTGGTAGTGTATATTAAATAGGGCTGGGTTTTGAAATAAGTTGAAATACGATATCATCTGATAGCCTGTAAAACTGATTTGTGTTAAAAATATATAAAAAAGAAACGAACATTCTCTAGTTATAGCACAGAAACTCTTCAAGGAAAAAAATACTGATAACCAATATGTGTAAATTTACATTTTAATAGCTCAGGAAAATGTGTATTATCTCTGTATTAAAATCTGCGAGTAGCAGTGTTCCAGTTTTAACGAAGTTAACTGGTTTTCTCTTAGACGTTTCAGATTTAAAAAAAAAAAAACAGTAATTTACTGAAAAACTTTTGTTGGGAAAATGTTTCTCTGTGAGTTGGCCTCCACACAGGATGACACGTCCTAATGAATGAGTGCTCTATAAACTGTGTTTTGCTCTCATTCTTGTCGCTATAACACAATTTGATCAATGTTTTGAGATTTTGTGAAATAATTCACTATTGATTTTTAATGTTACCTTTTACTTTGATAAGTATTTTATACGCAATTGTTCTTTGACTTGATAGAAAAATTACCAAATATATTTTAAAATATTTGCAAATGTTATTATTACAGAATTATTCTCTAAAGCATTGACAGAATGCAGTTAATAAGTTGTGTTACCTACAGTGGTTGCCGCGTGAAATGTAACACCGGGTACAGGCTTCAGTCAGGCTATGTGTCAGCTATGCTGCTGTGTAATCACAACACTGACCAACTCATCTACCACTCCCGACCATGGACGCCATCACTTACCACCTGCACCAGTATGTTACATTACCTTCTTATTTTAAACCTCATTGTAAACAAATGTTTTTGAACCTCTTATGGAAGGTAGCGGTGGCCGTTCATTCGTGAGAAAACAGAGAATGCTAGGTTGGTTTAGTAAGATTCGACAGGAAACAGGACAAGTGTTTCCTGACGAGGGTCTTAATCATATGATGACTTGCTGCTGAAGCGTATGGTCATCTGGCCGAGGAGTTTCCCTGTCTTATCGGTCCACTTCCTTTGTAAATTAATATTTTCCTGTGTCTCCTAACATGGGTATGTAAGTTTTTATTTAGGTATCGACTAAAGTCTAAATTTTTACGTCTTTGACAGTACCTTCTGTAGACATTACACTTCGATAGCCCAACAAAGTCAAACAATGGAACTGTTTACCAGTGGGATCCATATGTTACACAGTTTCATAGTAACAACTTACCTGGTTAGACATATGTACTGTGTATAAGAACATAACATAAGAAAGAAGGAACACTGCAACAGGCCTACTGACCCATGCCAAGCAGGTCAATGTCTTTCCCCCATAGTCAGGTCACTTCCACTTAAGGAAGGAGCAAGGCATCAGACCTAGTAGTACAAGCTAGTCAGGTCCAACTCACACCCACCCACACCCACTCATGTATTTATCTAACCTATTTTTAAAAGTACACAACGTTTTAGCCTGAATAACTGTACTCGGGAGTTTGTTCCACTCATCCACAACTCTATTACCAAACCAGTGCTTTCCTATATCCTTCATGAATCTGAATTTTTCCAACTTGAACCTATTGCTGCGAGTCCTGTCTTGGCTGGAAATTTTCAGCACGTTATCTACATCCCCTTTATTTATTCCTGTTTTCCATTTATACACCTCGATCATATCCCCCCTAATTCTGCGCCTTTCGAAAGAGTGCAGATTCAGAGCCCTCCGTCTATCCTCATAGGGATACATGGGATCAACTTTGTCATCTTCCTCTGTACGTTTTCCAGTGAATTTATATCCATTCTGTAATACGGTGACCAGAACTGAGCAGCATAGTCTAAATGAGGCCTAACCTAGGATATATAGAGTTGAAGAGCAACCTGAGGACTTCTATTATTTATACTTTTAGATATGAAGCCAAGGATTCTGTCAGCTTTATTGTGAACACTAATGCACTGTTGACTTGGTTTTAGATTACTGCTAACCAGAACTCCTAAATCCTTTTCGCAATCAGTAGTATTAAGATCTACATTATTTAGTTTATATGTGGCATGGTTATTTTCCTGTCCATCATTTAGAACTTTGCATTTGTCTATATTAAACTGCATCTGCCACTTCTTCGACCATTGCATCAGTTTATTCAAATCATCTTGCAGTGCTCTAGTGTCCTCATTAGAATGAATTGGCCGGCCTATTTTGGTGTCATTAGCAAATTTGCTTATGTCGCTATTTATTCCCTCATCTATGTCGTTTATGTAAATTATGAACAATAACAGGCCCATCACTGACCCTTGCGGAACACAGCTTGTGACGTGCCCCCATTCTGATTTCTCCCCATTTATGCAAACTCTCTGCTGCCTATTTGTCAGCCATGCCTCTACCCAGGAAAAAAATTCTCCTCCTATTCCGTGTGCTTTAAGTTTCCTCAATAGCCTCTGATGTTTAACCCTATCGAAAGCCTTACTGAAGTCCATATACACAATATCATATGCATTGCCATAATCTATCTCCTCAAACACCTTGGTGAAAAAAGTTAGTAAGCTCATAAGACAGGAACGTCCCTTTGTAAAACCGTGTTGAGACTCATTAATCAATTTATGTCTATCAAGATGGCTACGAAGTGCTTCGGCAATTATTGATTCCAAAAATGTTCCCACTATGGAGGTCTATAGTTCGAACCTAAGGACCTGTCACCTGCCTTGTAAATAGGTATTACATTTGCCATTTTCCACTTATCAGGCACTATGCCAGTTTGTAGTAATATGTTGAAAAGATTAGCCAAAGGTATGCTAAGTTCCTGTTTATATTCCTTTAACACCCTTGCAAACAGTTCATCATGGCCTGGGGATTTGTTAGGTTTTAATTTCTCTATTTGTCTGAGGACCATGTCACTAGTTACAGCAATCGTACATAGTTTATAATCGTCCTGTTCTACATAATCTGTTATTTCAGGAATTTCACTAGTATTTTCCCGGGTAAAACCTGAGAGGAAGTAAGTATTGAAAATATCACACATATACTTATCACTGTCATTTATCTGATCTTAGTTACTCTTAAGTGGGCCTATCTAGTCCCTAATCTTAAATAAATAACAAAAAGGCACAATACCGTGACTGGAACAATACACAAATAACCCGCACATAAAAGAGAGAAGCTTACGACGACGTTTCGGTCCGACTTGGACCATTGACAAAGTCACCATTGACTTTGTCAATGGTCCAAGTCGGACCGAAACGTCGTCGTAAGTTTCTCTCCCTAATCTTACTTCTGTATACCTGTAAGAACCCTTTTGAGTTAGTCTTCGAATCCCTTGCAACTTTAGTCTCATAATCCCTTTTTGCTTTTCTTATTCCCTTTTATTTGTCTCTTTAATTGAATATATTGATTTTGTTTGCTGTCCATTCCCTTTTTTTGACACGCCTATATATGTCTCTCTTTTGACCAATGAGATGTTTTAATCTATTGTTTATCCATTTGGGATCATTTTTGTTAGATCTAATTTCCCTACTCAGAACAGAAGTTGTCTGGGCAGCTAGAACTATGCTCTGAAAAACGTCATATTGGCAACCAAGATCACCTCCCTGACCCATAGTCAGGTCATCCCAATTTAGCCCACCTAGATAATTTATCAGTCCCTTGAAATCGGCCAAGCGAAAATCTGGGACAGAGATGTGATTGCAGTTATCTGGGTAATTCTATGATATATTGAAACTAAGTGATTTGTGATCACTTTCCCCAAACTCATCATTAACCTCAAGATTATTAATTAGTGAATCTTTGTTGGCAAGAACCAAGTCAAGCAGATTGTTTCCTCTAGTTGGTTCTGTCACAAACTGTTTTAAAAAGCAATCCTGAACTGTATCAAGAAAGTCACTAGACTCAAGATTTCTTGTCACATTGTTCCAATCAATTTACCTAAAGTTAAAATCTCCCATTTACATAACATTTTCGTATCTAGATGCCTTATCCTCTACCATAATAAACATTATTAATAAAAATTAGTATATAATATGAAGGTTACGTTATCAATATTTTAATAACATGAAATACCTCTCCTCCACCTCTAGCATCTTCATTCATTGTGTATTCCTTAAATTCATTCTTAAAATAATTTATGCTAAATCTGGCTTTGGCTTGATCAGGTAGCCCATTCCAATACTTTAACACTGTTTAATAAGCGTTTATAGTGCACAATGCAAAATTGTATTTCCTTTCCTGAGTACACTACTAGTTTTGATTTTTAACTTTCAGATCATTTGAAGCAACATATTTTAGACAATAGTACTTACAGTATCTATCGGTCATCCTAATTAACATATTCTCTGGTATCCAGGTTCAGGATGAATATCATTATTTTATTTTTAAAAATTTCTAAATTTTTTTTTCAGATTTTCCCAAATCAAAGTTCCAAGAAGAGTAGAAGTGATGTAAATGGCATTGTTATGTAATAACTGTATTTCTACCTCGTTTTATTTCTGAGTCCTGGCGTATTTTAGGTTTGCTAGTCGCCCATATACTGCAGCAGTTATTTGGTTGATGTGCGCCTCAGGAGGCATGTTCGGTATTATATTCACCGCAAGATCTTTTTTCTTGAGCGAGGGATGTAGTCTTTGGCCCCCTAGGCTGTATTCTGTCTGGGGTCTTCTTTGACCTTTCCCGAACTTCATGACCTACCGCTTGGCTGGGTTGAACTCCTGCAGTCACGTGCTAGACCAGGCCTGTATCCTGTCAAGATCCCTTTGTAGTCTTGCCTGGTCCTCCTCCGACTGAATTGTCCTCATTAACTTGGCATTGTCTGCAAACAGAGACAGTTCTAAGTTTATTCCTTTGCAGTGCCTTTCCTGTTATATCTGCCTGGTCCTTCAGCTTTTGCACTAATTTATTGTGTGGAACTGTGTCGAAAACCTTCTTACAGTCCAAGAAAATGCAATCTTCCCACCCCTTTTCTCTTCTCTTACTGCTGTCACCTTGTCATAAAACTCCAGGAGGTTTGTGACACAGGATTTCCTGTCCTTGAATCCGTGCTGGTTGTCGCAGATAACCTCATTCCTTTCTAGGTGCTCCACTACTCTTCTCCTAATAATGTTCTCCATGACTTTACATTTTATGGACGGTACTAATACTGGTCTGTAGTTTAATGCTACATGTCTGTCTCCTTTTTAAGAAATTGGGACAACATTTGCTGCCTTCCACATCTCAGGTAGTCGCCCTGTATCGATAGATGTGTTAAAGATTGTTGTTACTGGTGCACAGAGCACCTCTGCTCCCTTTCTCAGGACTAATGGAGAGAAGTTATTTGGTTTCATCGTTTTTGAGCTATCTAGTTCGCTTAGCAGCCTATTCACCTCCTCCTCGGTTGTGTGTATTGTGACCAGCACTTGATGGAGTACCCCACCACTCTTTGTTTCTTCAGTCATTTCTGTTTCAACTGTGAATACTTCTTTAAATCTCATGTTGAGCTCCTCACATACTTCACAGTCATTTCTTGTGAGCTTCCCTCCTTCAATCTTCTGCCTGATTACCTGGTCTTTTAATGTTGTTTTTCACCTGATGTGGCTGTACAACAGCTTTGGGTCAAACTTGGCTTTAGCTGCTATGACATTTTCGTATTGTCGCTAGGCCTCTCTCTTTACCTGTTCACATTCATTTTTGACTCGACTACTCTCCTTATTCTCCTGGTTCTTATGCCTCCTAAATTTCTTCCATTCTCTATAGCATTTGGTTTTGGCCTCTCTACACTTCCGGGCCTTCTCGTTATGTTTGTTGCACTTGGGTACAAATCTCTCATCTGCTGCCTTAAAA